TTTTTCATTTGACTTTTTTTTTTACCGTCTATCTCTAGTCTCTGTTATTATGCAAACTTTCAGTTCATAGCACCTGGCGAGGAAGTGTTTGCCAATTATCTTTTTCTTAATTCTTTCCACATCTTTTCGGGCAGCAGTATGTTGTTCAATACCTTTCTCAGTTCTGTGTACCATATGATAATCTCAGTTCTGTATATATGTGTCATATCTTCATTACCCCCTTCTCTCTCTATTGCTTTTATTCAAAGCCACCAGTTTCTTCTCTTCTTCTTCTCTGAAATTCGAAACGTGTGTGCCTTCTGAGGGAGGGCGTAGCGGTGTAGCGCAATCGTTAACTGACTCCCGCATACTCCCACAGCCTTCCACTGGAGACAAACCTCAGGAAACTGTGGTCAGTGAGCCTCCTCAACCTAGTCAAGAGGTGAATATGACGGTTGTGTAAAGATAATGCACCACTTTTGATTATTACAGCTATTATTATCAGTTTCTCAATCTGTCTTAACACACTTTTCCAATATTAATAACACTTTTGAAAAAAAGCATCATTAAACCATTCTTTGAATAACCCTGCATGCTGTAGCACATTTCGATTTGAAGACAACAGCAGCAAAAAAAAAAAAAAAAAAAAAAAAAAAAAAGTAAACCATTGTCTAGAATGATTATGATTCCTTTCAACAACGGTTTCTCGCTGGAGAAATCAGTGACAATGTAATAAGTGTAACAGTGCACAGAAGCCGTAACCTGGTGACCTGATGTCTTCTTGTCTGATTCGTAGGGTCAGGGGGAGATTCCTCTTCAACCTACCGACGAAAAGCCGACAATTGTAGAAGAAAAGGTGAATTTTGATCACTTAGGCCTTTAGAGCCCCTTTAGCTCGTAGGTAGTGAAGTTCTATCAACATTCTTGACTGCTCATTTATAGTTGATTTGATGAGATATTCATATATCTCTTTTAATTTAGCCGTTATCAAAGAGTTTTACTTTTTACGGTTTATTTTATTACATATTATATATATATATATATATATATATATATATATATATATATATATATATATATATATATAACTTTTTGCTCCTGGTTCGAGAATCCTTGTAGGCAATTTTAGTAGCTGTAATTCACATAGCTACATTTTAGCAAGTTGTGCAAAAGCCTACGGATTATTATGTGATGAATAGCGCTACATGCAGAGGTAATTGAAGTGCAATGCAGACACTGCCAATTATCTCTTATCTTGCTGAGAGAATCATATAGATAATCTGGTCTCTTACAACCTTCCACTTAATCTCCGCCTTTGATTCATTGAAGAACACAAAATCTCATTCATTCACATTTTTATTCCTCTAATGTACACCTTTTTATCTCTCCAATCACATGATCTCTCACCCACGTTCACCCACGACCCAAGTCCTGTGTTGCAATGCATGACAGGTTGCAGGACACCGCGCTCATGCATGTAGCGAAAGATATCTATGAGCTAAAGTCAACATGTGTATATAAGCATGACCTTTTTTTAAGCCGCACACCATCGCCATTGTCCAATGTATGTCCATGTATGTCGTTAATGTTCACTTTACTAACATTCTCCTTACTCCAGTTCGCTGTCAGCACCGATCCTTGCCCCCCACGCCCCTCCCCTCCCTCCACTCCCCTCCCCTTCCCTTCCCTTCCCTTCCCTTCCCTTCCCTTCCCTTCCTTGGTAGAGAGAAGGATGAAGGAGTTCATTTCCTCCCCTCTAGGGCGGAGAAACAGAGAATTCCCATTTCTGGTCCTTTCCCCCATCCTTTCACATCTCATTCCTATTCCCTTTCTTTTTGTCCTCTGTTTATCTTACCTCTTATTTTTCCTCTTTCTCTACCTCTCGCCATCCCCTCTGGTTATTTCCTTCTCTCCCACACATACATCCCTCTTCCCTCTCATTATCTCCACTTCCTACTTTACCACCACTCCAGTTCCTCCTTTCCCTCATCCCCTCTCGTTTCTTCTCTCCCCCTTCCAAATCCGCTCCTTTTCCTCTGCCCCTTCCTCATCGGCTTCCTCTCCTTGGTCTCATCCTTGACAATTACCAGGTATCCTACTTCCCCTTTCCTATCACCTCCCGCCCCCACTCTTTCTTTTATTCCTCCCCGCTCCCGTCTCTTTCCAGTGTCCCCCCTTCTTCCTCCTATTCCCAACCTCACTCTTATTTCTCTCTGCCCTTCGCCCAATTCCTTCTTTATGTCCTCCCCCTTCTTTCTTCTCCCTGTCCTTCCCTATTCCCCCCCTCCTCCCTCTTCCCTGCCCTTCCCCTCCTCCTCCTCCCTCCTCCCCCTCCTTCCTCCTCCATCCTCCCCCCTCCCCCTCCTCCCCCTCCCCCTCCCTCCCCCTCCTTCACGGCTTTCGATGACGCTCTTCCCTCCTCTTCCAACGTGATGGTGATGGTCGTCGTCGCTGTGTTTGTTGCTGTTGCTGTGGATGTGTGTCTCTATCTGTTGTCCTCTCTCCCCCCGCGTGTGCCCAG